TAGATTAAAAAGAGATTGGTTCCACAGAGGACATCCAGATGAGACGGGATACTAGAGAAGCGTTGCCGAAACGAGATGTTGATCCGAAGCGCTGAAGCGCAGATCTTTCGCGCAGTTCCGCGCAAGGCGCACGCGACCGGCCGGGAACGTCCTACGACAGTATGCAGCGCTGGCCAGCTATGGATCCGTGCGCCGAATGAATTGGCGGGCGCACGGATCCATAGCTGCCAGCGAACAGTCCGCAATTTTAGTGGGGGACACAGAGGGTAGACATTTGGGACGTGAACAGTGTTCACTTGTTATAAAAAGTGTAACCGAGTAATGTGTTCGTAACCGAGCTGTGTCACGCGAAATCACAGAAAGACTGTCGAAATTCTGACATTCGCGAACTTGCCCAGTAATGGAAACGGCTGTCAGAATCAGGAAACACCTACCGGCGCTCTTCGCGCCCAACGCTCAACGTTTTTGCAACGTTCCAATGGCGAGGCTCGTACGGGAGTTGGAAAGCAGTGCGCCGCCTGCCCGCCGCCTATAGCCCATAGACTGGCACTCTCTCGCGCACCTCTCGGCTTAGCTTAGTCACTCAATGGCTAATCGAGGTGGAGCGAGTCCTAGTCTATATATAGCCTTTGCACCTCGCAACCTTCTTGAAAGAGAGTAGGCCTATACTAGAAACATTAACAATTTCGTATAAATAGAATTCGTATTTAGTTAGCATTATATTTTATTGAAACGGTCGAAGTGCCTGTGCGGCGGGCGGTCCGCATGTAGACTGGTATTACATTCCACACCTACGGCTACGGCTACGAATACTTGTATTACTACAAGTACATGTTACACTAATTACTACTAAGTACTACTACTAGTACTAGTAGTAGTAGTACTACTAAGTTACCAGCACTACTAGTACTACTACTAGTACTAGTAACTACCAGGACCGCAGGAGCTCATGTAATAGTAATAGTAATAATGACTAACTCTGTTACTAGTAATTAACTTACTAATAATGACGAACCCTAACCATAACCCTAACCTATTATATTGATATAATATTATATTTATATTGATGTAAATGACATTGGTTTTATTGCCCATGCCATACATTGGGGCCCATATAATATTGGGAGCCATGTTCTCTATCCTTGAACCACTAGTACTACTAGACTACTACGACTAGCAAGAAACGCTCTTTGCTAGGGTTAGAATACCCCTAGGCTATACTAGACACAGGCACTTCCAGCGTTTCAATAAAATATAATGCTAACTAAATACGAAATCTATTTACTACGAAATTGTTAATGTTTCTAGTATAGGCCTACTCTAATAATGGCTAATAAAATAATGGTTAATAAATACAACTTGTCAGTAGGACTAGTACTACAGTACCAGCAATAGTCTTAATGTTTGATTTCACCTAATAACTTCACTTCAACACCGTTAAATACACCGATGCAACACATAGCCCGCACGGCATTGTGCATGCACAGATACACAGTAGATAGTCCTGAGCTCCACAACCATAAATCACGTCAGGCTCTGTGTCCAATTGACTGGTACCAGATTAAATATTCCAGATCTAAGAAACTAAGATGGCTACGATAATTAAAAGCCCAAGTAGACTGGTACGACCTTCACTCAGCCAACTATCGTTGGCTATACTGAAGTGAGTTACGCTAGCGTGTTGAACGACGCGCGGCAGTCTAGGTCATCCATCCGAGCGGTTTTTTAAAAAAAACTTGGAAATGGTACGTAGATGGACTCGTTGCGCCATCTATGGGTCGCGATAACTTCCAAATTAATGTGAGGGCATGATCCAGCGAAAAGGGAAAATTATTTTTCTACACTTTTTCGACGCGCGCCAACAAGCAAGGTAGCAATTTCGAGCATTTGGAGTTATTCTCGCCCTACGTGCATAGGCCAAAGGCTTGCGGAAGCGCCAGAACTGCTCAATTGACCGATCAGAGGCCGATCTGATACAACCGTTAAAGTCATATTGACAGCGCAGCGATTTCGTTCTAAAAGGCGCCACCAGGTGGCGCGAAGCGCGCTTCGCGCGGATATCAGCTGCAGAACGTCTAGGGACGTGTCTACTGCGCATTTACACACAGACACTGTGGAGATGGTGTCACTGTATAGCTGCCACTGAAGAGAAATGTCGGAAGTGTCCTTTCTATGCAGGTGTTGATATTATAGAGATGGCTGCTAACACAGGTTTAACTGTATATACATTTATTCAGTACAACACATAGGAGCTGTTCAACGTGTAACTGTGTAGTTTACGTCTAAGTTTGTAAAAGCGACTGAGATTCTTGGTGCCGGAATTGTGCGACTCTTTGGAAACGGCAAAACTTGTGGGCTAACTAATTAATGTGTGCACCAAGGTTACTGTTGCATCATTAAAAATTTGTTAAATTGATTATTTTTAAAGCATTCCCACAGTGAGGTATATAAACAGGTACACACATACTAGCTAAAATTGATCCTCTACATAGATTAACTGTTTTGAAACTTGTGTCTGTGAGTGAACTTATTTTTTATATATACTAGTCATACCCCTGCATAATATAGCCTATTTTTAACACGATTTTTATTTATACATTCGCGTTTATGAGGTCGTGTTTCACTATTACAGTCATAAATATACACAATTCACTTTTAAATGATTTCTCCCGGTAGATAGCGCCACAATGTCATTCATAGGAAGTTATGGGGAGACCATTGCCTATTAGGCTATTACCAGTAAATTATTTCTATAAACTAAGCGTTAATGTAGGGCTTGTCAATTCTATGCTTGCTTAGTTAAGCATTACTAACTCTTTTGCTTTATTGCCGTTTCTTTTAGTTGTACCCACATGGGAAGATGTCAAGGTTTGTAAAGACATGGAATGTAGGAGATACAATTGAATGGAGAGGACCATTCGGAGAATTCTTATACAAGGCAAACTCGGTAATGTACGTATGTACTGTCATAGCATTGTATAGATATAAAGTTATAAAATTAATTGACACAGTTTGAATAATACTGACAAGGGTATTTTTAAATATTGCTTTTATCTCTAAAGTTTGTAGGTAGGTGGGTGTTCATGAAATTCCCAGTATTATTTTTACAGCAAAAATAATTTTTGTAAGAACATAATTTTATCGAGATGATTACGTTACCATGCTTATGAAATCTCTTAATCTCGGCCCACCCTGTAATTAGGATATGGTATTGGCAAGGTGCCAGAAACAGTTCATTAACATGTGCAAGAGCATTTGGGGTTCTCGGTGTGATAAAGGTTCTGTGTCCACTTATTGCATTAGACTATTGCAATGAATCTTCCCATAGCATTTCCTTAATTTTCTGTGAGAGAACATGTAATAATCTAGTGTAATTCTGGAATGCATTCGTAACAGATTGATGGTCTAATTAATTTTAATAAGTAAAAAGTTAAAAAACATTTAATTTGAATAAATATTCCTGCAAATGTATATATATATATTGTTTACTCATGATGTATATACACGCACATACACATATATATACATACATATCTGCATAAAGTCGTATGTGTGAAATTGTTTTTCATAAACAGCTGAACTTTTGCTACCTATTCTGTTCCATCACAGAGTGGACATTTGCACCGTAGAGTTTAAGTACACGAGTGCAGTTCACGAGTATACTTACTCTATCTTCTTCGAGAGTGGCTTGCTTATGTTTGTCATGCTCTCGTCGATTCCAGTATAGGAGAGTCGTGATGATAGCTGGAGGGACGGGTATCACGCCGATGATGCAGGTGATTCCGCAGATCCTCGACAACGATGAAGACGAGACCTTCGTGCGACTCATCTACAGCAATCGAGACTACGACGGCGTGCTGCTGAAGTCACGGCTCGATTCGCGGAAGGACATGTGGAACTTCACGGTCTTATACGTGCTCACGAAGGTAAGACTTGGCTATCTTAGTCTCCTGCTAATGCACTCGAATGAAGCTTATACGTGCTCACAAAGGCATGACATGGCTATATTAATGTGTTGTTAATACACTCCAATAAAGCTAATCTGTGCTCACAAAAGTAAGGGTTTGGGCTATATTAATGCATTGTTAATACACCCCAATTAGGCGTATACGAGCTCCCAAAGGCAATGTTTGGAAATATTAATTTGTAGTTAATATGTATGTGACAAGAGTGACTACGTATGGTTTACTTGATGACATATCATGCATTGCCTAAAAAGTAATGTCTATAACACCAATCGATTTTACATTTCTAGCTGCTTATATGCATAAAGTGGAGTCGCACCACTTAAAATATCTATGTAGAGTAAAACCGGTATATAGTGGGTCATTCAAGGGAATCCCATAAGTGTTCTTTATAAACAGGTGTCCATTCTATAGAGGCTGTTTTACTGTATATTCACTGAGCTGACTTTCTCTTGTGACATTCAAATGTACTGTTTCAATCATTTTCAGAGTAATGAGAATTGTTTTCCTTGTTTCTTATAGGCAAGTCAAGATGTGTGTGCTGTAAAATATGGAGACAACATTCTTTTTGGGTGCATCAATAAAGAACTGCTTGAGAAAGAATTGAAAGTAGCTGATGGTAAACAGTTAGTGCTGATATGTGGGACAAAGTCATTCGACAGGGATGTTATTGCAATCGTGAAGGAGATGGGTCTTTCAGAAAATAGTTATTTCAGGTTTTAATATGCATTTTGTACCCCGGTGTGGATATGGAATCTACATACACACATAGAATAGGATTACATTTGTGCATTTCCATTATATATATATATACAATGGAATATGATATATACGGAAAAAATCTTTTAGTGATCAAAATGACATATATGGTTACTCTCAGGTTAGGCATATCTGTACTAATATGCTATAAATTTGAGTATTTTGTTACTTAGAACTGAAGATCTAGGCTGTGGGTGTTGACAATTTTAAATGCACTACATACTAGTAAGCTGTATTGACACATACTCATTTGTTTCGTAACAACATATTACATAGATCTGTACAGATCTTGGGAAAAATTGATTTAAATGAAATGCAAAATAATTGATGTGAATTGTGAAAATATAAAGTTTATTTTAGCAAAAGTAAACGTCAATGGTATCGTAGGATGGTTTCCTTGTAAAGGTGACCCGTGCTAGCATTTACTTGAGCATTCTTTCTTAATATACGACATTCTGACTTGCAATAGTGTGTTATTTTAAAACTTAAATAATTAATGCATACTTATATGTGAAATTATCTTAAAATATTGAATGTTGAATTGAATACATGAAGTTTGAATATTGATTACAGCAATAAAAAACACGTTGGCATTACAGTAAAATACTCTATATGTTTTAACAAGTATTGCCAAATATGTAACAGCAGAGATCCATACATATTCACTAGTTGGCACACCTTGCCTGATTCCATGCCTACATCTAACCATAGATATATACAAACATTTGTTGTGTTTGTATGATCTAACCTCGGCTGTATAACGCAGGTTACCATTACTGGTAAGCGACCAGTGCAATTCATGGAAAACTACCAACGCAAGGCCCGAAAAGCAACGGTGCAAACTCAGAGCAACTTAAGGTAAATTATGTTTTCTGATTTGCAGCGATTTTCTGAAAAAAACTTGCACAGTTAAAGACCAAGCTGATAAATCATCATTGTAGTTTCTTTTTGGTGATGCAATCATGAAATCACAGGATGGGCATGGCTTAGAGGCATATCAACCTACATATGATACAACCAGGGAAATGAAAGAATTCATATATACAATGCGGTAATTCAATGGAATTGCATGCACCTGCATTCCATCAAATGACCACATATATTACTATCCATTTTCAATGGATATTTGATTTGATTTACAGTCACAATACATATAAACTTGCAATAGTTGAGAAAATATTAAACAAATACATAAGAAACATGAATTAGTGAAACAATGTAAACAATTATTTACCCATTAAATAAGTTCATTCGGTTGGTAGACTAATAGATCTAACTGTGTTAATTGTTACTCAACCGTGAAGATTGGAAACGTACAGCTTACGTTTCGTCTCCTGCCAGGAGGCTTTCTCAAAGCTAACGGATGATTATCAGTTTTGACCACCAGATGGTGTGGTGGTCAATAGCTTAGTCCACACGTGACTGAGCCTATATCCCCTCTCGTCACGGTTGATGAGCGATATCAAAATCAGACGATGGATTAAGGAGGCCATCTGGATCCGCAGGACCCCGAACATCAACAGTGACGAGGGGGGACGTGTCACGTGTGGACTAAGCTATTGACCACCACACCATCTGGTGGTCAAAACTGATAATCATCAGTTAGCTTTGAGAAAGCCTCCTGGCAGGAGGCGAAACGTAAGCTGTACGTTTCCAATCTTCACGGTTGAGTAACAATTATTTACTATTTCGCAGGCTACCAAATAAATATTAGCATTACTAACAATTCCAGAGTTACACTTAATCGGGAAAAAAGTGAATTTTTTAAAGGAATGATAATGTTATATACTAACTATAATTTTAACTGGATAATGGAACTGGAATTTTAACTGGAATATACTAACTTTAGCTTTAATGTATTATGGAAACATCAGGAGTTTATAAAGGAACGTTATAAAAACAAATTATTTATAATGACTCCTGAAGATATTGAACAAGAGCCGCAGAGCGTCTGGGCTCATCTGAGGTCTGTTACTACGGTTATAAACGTAACATTTAAGTTGTGCGTAGTGACACCTTTGTTAGGCGCAGATATGCAGGTACGCAGTTGCGTACACATCATTTCAGCATTTCATCACATCATTTCACCTTCTGCATTCTGCATACCTCCCAAATCCCGTTGGTTAATACAAATCGCGTGCCTGAAACTTTATGTTTTATGGTGCTTTGTGACCCTAACCCTATTAAAAAAAATTAATTAATTGTTGTAAAAATTATTTGTTGTTATTAAATTGTTGTAAATAAATCATGTAAATATTTGCGTTAATTGGAAAAAAATAGTTAAATGGATAAAGATAGAAAAATACAGAAAACAGGCAAATAATAAAAAATCAGATGGGATTCGATCCAACGACCTTTGAGCCGTGACGCCTGTGCTGTACGCGTTCGGCTATCCAGGCTTATTGGGTTTTTAGATTATGGATGTGCCATGAATGATAAAAATGGTAGGTCAGTGCTGAAACAAAAAAAGTTTTTCACTCTGTCCATTAGGCCATGTCCTCAGAAAATGTCTGATATCTGACCTTTCCCCCACTGCCCTTTGACCTGTGACCTCCAATTTCGCACTGGTGATAGGTTTCCTGCACATCACACTATACACCAAATATTAAGAGCATAGGTCGAGCCATTAAGATTTGTGCCGCAATTCCGTATTTCCTCCTATACCTTAAGTTAAGGGGGAAATATTCCCCCTCCGTTTACACATCTTGACCTTTGACCCTTAACACCCCAAATTTGTCATCCCGAGTCTTTTTTCTAACCCTTTTCACGATCCCCCCCCCACCGACGTCCCGAATATA